CCCAGTCTGATGCTATTGCTTTTTGTTCTCTCTTAGCCAGGAGCTTAATTGTGTATAAATGGAAAAACACCTTACCTCCGATGTTTAAACCCTTAATTAAAGATATTAAATTTAACATACAATTAGAAAAACGTAGATGTTTTATGAAAGGGTCATATAAGATATTCTTTATCACTTGGCAAGCTTTTCTAACTTTTGTGAAAAAACCTCCTGAAGAGCAATTGTGCTGAATGTATATAATTTTTTGGTGTTTCTCTTTCTTTCCTTTTTCTTTTGTTTGTTTGGTTGTCTACTCTCTTAGGACCCTATCATTCACCCAGCAAAATATGGCACAAGATGTGTTTGGCTTGATGTGTTGCTATTTTCAGACCAGTGCAACCCTAATTTTCACGTTTTTTTATCACGAATCCATTTGCGCAACTTTGTGGACTCATGGGTGTTCTGTTCTAAAAGGAAGGTATGCTGCAGGTGCATTGCGGAACTGAAATAGGCCGCGCCGTTGACCAACTGAAACCTGGTCTAAAGTCCAGTGCAGAGCACGTTAGTTATGCACATGTGCAGGTCCAAAACGCTTACACATTGCTTAAGACAGCAATGCACAAATATCTTTACATATGAAAATACTGAAGGATTACAGTGTTACAAAAAAAAAAAATATTTACTACATAAATATATCATGTATAGGTGCTTTTTTTCAGTTTATTCATTACAATTAGTATTTCATTTATTCATTTTCTTTTCGGCTTAGTCCCTTTAATTATCTAGGGTCGCCACAGCGGAATGAACCGCAAACTTATCCAGCATATGTTTTGTGCAGCGGATGCCCTTCCAGCTGCAACCCATCTCTGGGAAACATCCACACACACTCATACACTATGGACAATTTAGCTTACCCAATTCACCTGTACCACATGTCTTTGGGCTTGTGATGGAAACCGGAGCAACCGGAGGAAACCCACGCGAACGCAGATGATCTGTTTAACTGTTTTCTTGTTAGTGAAGTGTTTAGTTTTCCATTTACAAAGTCCGCCATGTAAATAGCAAATGCACCAAGGTGTGTGACACAACTGACTCTTAAAGGGAATCGGAGATGAGACTCTGATTGGTCTAATGCACGTTATGCTCAAAACAACATTTCTCATTAAAAGAATAAGCACAACCCTGTTAAACCATGCTCCAAGGCACAGAGCACATTTTTCCACCTTAAAATAGCAAAAGTGCATTCGGGCACACCCCTAATATTTTTGCGCCATGCACTTTAGACTTTGCGTCTAGATCACTAAAAATAAAGTCCTTACAGTTTTTTTTCTGCTCTGTTAAAAATATATATTTTTTAAAGAGAAAACAAACAAAAAAGTAAAAAAAATAAAATAAAAAACAATGTTGCTGAAAACCTTAAATTACTTTTTAGCTTGGATGAAGTAAAGTTTCAGTGAGGCTTTTGAGCCAGTGTCTTCTGAGCCGTGAACTGGCTAATTAAAGCATTAAGTATGATATGTGTGTGTGCGTAGTGACTAATAGAGATGAATTATGTTCTGTATAGACGTACGAGACAAGAAGGATTACTAGAATCTCTCAAACTTCTCTCAGAAGTCTGCTTGCTGTCAGATTATGAAGTCTGTTCATGAGGACAAGACGCTATAAATAGAAGCCTAAGAAGACATGAAATGAGAACAATCATACTAATTGACCTACTGTGTGTTTTACAGCAAGCACAGGATTATATGCAAGTGTGAACTGTGTAACAAACTCGACAGGTCTTCTTAAACAGAAGAGGCTTTTAGCATCCTGGAGGGCTGTTTTGATTACTGCACGTGTTTTTCATTAATGCTTGCTAATAAAATGTCAGGACAAAGAACATCAATAAATAAGAAGTCACATTGTTGACAAAGCTGGAAGGACTACTGGGTTTCTGTGGCCAGGATGTGCTGGAGAGTATCACAGCTCTGCATGTCTTTCTGCTTGTACCAACATCTTAACTAGTAGTTTTGCAAATAGACCAAGCACTATTATTAAATTGATCATCAGGAATCATGCACATTTCAGCCATGTTTTCTGAGCTGCAGAAAGAAGCCCTGCTGCTTTGCATGTTTCTTCACATTCACACTATGAAACATTTCCAGCATGCAGGATTTTGTTTGCTTCTAAATGTCATTTTGAAACATCCATCTGCTCTTCTGCTCTCAAGATGTCAGTGGGGATCAGTGTTTAAAATATGTAAGCATATAATCGATAATTATCGATGCCAAGTGCTTTACCCAAACAAATTTCAAAGCATGCTCTAAACACAATGAGCGGTTCCAGTTGCATTTTTACTAAAGCAGCATTCAGTATTCTAGGTATATGGTTAGGATTCTTAGTTCCCAGGGTAGAGTTGCACTAGCTGTTTGTAAGTTCTTTCTTAATCTGGCATGTTAATTCCTCACTAGGGGCTTAGTAACTACTAGCTAGTTTGTAACTAAAGTTATTCTTACTTTTGGTTGCACTAGATATTCTTAAGACAAACTATAGCTAGTAGGTCTCTTTGTAAAGTAATGCGTACACATTGAATGACGTAATATCCAATAAAAAGCATTTAAATTGTTAAACTGCATTAAAATTCTGCAACTAATGCATCTATGTATAACTGTCCTATAAAAATGAAATGACTAATTACATTTTTCTAGTACATTACATTTGTCAGTCACTAATAACAGACAGCGCACACAGTTGCATTGTGAGTCGTAAATACACAAAGTTTTTTTATATCCTATACATATAAAAGAGAAAAGAGCAGGAGGAAAAACTTTAGTCATAAAGACATTTGCATTTTAATTGATGGACACAATTAACACAAAACACTCATAGATAGAAAATTAAACTCACAAACCAAAAAAAAAAAAAAAGAGATTTGGGAGGAAATTATGGCTGTGAGTAGAGGGAGATAATTCTTCATTATGATCGTGAGCTGCTCAATGTAAACTAATCTCGCCATCATCTCTTCTCTACTATTATACATGGGGGGTTGTAAATATTTAGATTAAGCGGGATGTTTAAACTAAGATCAGTGGTGCAACACAAAAATATTTTGTAGTATGTCCCTTAAAGTCACAAGTAGGCTACAGTTTAACTTATGCACTGCTGGTGCAACCGACCCCAGTTTTTAAATCCTGGATGAGCCCCCACAGGTGCATTTCTCCCCTCTAGGGTTGATGAGAAGGTAAAAATTTTAATGTACTCAAGTAAGATTAAAGTAAGTACAGTGTTGTGAATCAGAATTACAAATGATTGACTTAGAAATGTTTTATAAATAGTCTAAATTATAGGTGTTCGCCAGAATTTTGAGCCAGCGGACATATTGCGCACTGAAAAAAAAGCAATGTCAAAAAGTCAAGACAACAAATATTTTTATGTTGGTTAAATTGATTTAAATTACTTAATTAGGTTTCAAAAAAATTAAGTTAAACAATGTTTAAATATTTTTAGTTAGTTTGGTGATGAAGATGAAATGAGTAGAAAATTTTGTTTGATTGAACTAAAAAAATTAAGGCAACAAGATTTTTTACAGTGCAGAAATTTCCCTTTTTTAAGATATAAGATATATGTTAAATATAAAATATAGAAATCCTAATCCTATTTTGATTTGGGTTTCTTAACCTACCTTACAAAGTCATATATTATCTCTGGTGAGAAAATCTTAAATTGTGTCAACAATCAGATATGTTACCAAGTAGCCAACACTTTTTTCAGTTATTATTGGTGAAAAAGTATTTATTCAGTCACCAATTATGCAAGTTCTCCCACTTAAAAAGGTGAGAGAGGCCTGTAATTTTCATCATATATATACCACAACTATCAAAGACAAAATGAGAAAGAATTAAATCCAGACAATCACATTGAAGGATTTTTAAAGAACTAATTAGTAAATTCCTCTGCAAAATAAGTATTTGGTCACCAGCAAACAAGCAAGATTTCTGTCTCTTAAATACCTCTAACTTCTTCTTTAAGAGCCTTCTCTGTCCTCAATCATTACCTGTATGGTTAACTGTAAAAAAATGTATGACCTCTGTTATTGCCAACAAAGCTTATATAACAAAGTATTGAGAATAAATTTTGTTATTGACTATTTTTTCGCATTTTGTCTCTCATAGTTGAGACATACCCATCATAAAAATTACAGGACTCTCTTATCTTTTTAGGTGGGAGAACTTGCACACTAGGTGGCTGACTAAATACTTTTTAGCCCCACTGCAATAATGAAACATGTTTAGCTATTTAAAAGACCCAAGCCTCCCCTTTTCAAGTAGATTACAGCCGTTCTTTCATGATTTGTAATAGCTGCCCAAAGACATTACCAAGACGGCCAGCTGGTGGAAAGACTCAAAAGGACTTTCAATGAGCCCACATGCCTTCAGTTTAATGCACTTCAAACTAAATGTGTCGTGCCATCAGACTGATCAGACAAGGTCATTGGGGTCATCCACCACAGTTTGATGTAAATCATTTAGAAATGTAAGCTAGACGCCGATGCTTAAAGAAAGTCATCTTGAGGCGCTTTTTGCTTTGATAGATTTTCATGGTTACGAGAAATCCGAGGTACTTATGTATATTGCATTGAAGTAACCCGTTCTCACCCAGAGGCAGTGCTGCCAAACGAGCACAGAGAGGCCCGTTTCAGACCTGCGGGCGTCATTCACACCTGAACTCAGCAGACATCACAGCTCATAAGTTCTGTCTCATTACCTTGCCATTCAAGACATCATCTCTGCTCACAGATCTCCAGCCGTTCACCTAAAGCTTCGCTCAAGAATCCTGCAGTGTTTCCTGAAAGTCATTGATAATAAAGATGCTGTCACATACGCCTCAGTCTCAGGCTGAGAAATTGTATTTAGCTATACGTACCTTGGCAGTGAGCTATGGTTCCCTCATAGAGTATCACGGACACATTCAAACTGATGTGAACCTTTTAAAATTCATAGAGGGTTTCTTAAACATTTACGTGGATAAAATCTTGACAAAGTATTTTACAGACATCTGTTTTAATGCAACATCAGATAATGCAGAGGTAAAATAATGCAATTAAAATTATAAATATGAAAAAACCACATATGCACCAAATTCTAATTGAATAATGTGAAAGAAAGGCATTATGTAGTCTGAATGGTTATTACAAACAAAAAGAAACAAAATTTAGTGTGCTACAAGCTGCTTAACAGCCAAATGAGCATTTAAAGAGCAACCATGACATTATTAATGGATCTATCTAATGAACATGGCGTTTACAGTACTCTGAAGTCTGAGAGTGTTTGACAGGGAGGCTGTGAAGTGACAAGGTGACATTTCTGTAGTTTAGTAGCCCTGGCTTTGGTTCTGGGGCTCCAGGATGATCTTGCTCTGGTCTTGAATGCAGGAGAAAGCAGCACGGTGGATTTTCTTCACATTGATGTAGTTGTACTCTAAATGGACAGTTGACAGGGGAGAGTCCTCCGTCCTTTTAACCTTACAAAGCGACTTTGAGGGGACAGAGCTGAAAACACAATATATATATATATATATATACTGTTAGGTCCATAAATATTTGGATATCGACAAAATTGTAACATTTTTGGCTCTATAGACCAACACAATGAATTTCAAAATGAACAAGGTGTGCTTTAACTGCAGACTGTCAGCTTTAATTTGAAGGTATTTACATCCACATCAGGTAGACGGGGTAGGAATTACAACAGTTTGCATATGTGCTTCCCACTTGTTAAGGGTCCAAATGTAATTGGACAGAATAATAATCATGATTCAAACTTTCACTTTTTAATTGAAAACTTAATTGTTTCTTAATTTCAGTTTATTTTAGAATGTAAGGAAACTTACTAGATGGGGAACAGGGCTTAAGTGTGCATACCTTATCCGGTTGTGGTCTAGATGCAGCAGCTGGAGTTTCTTGAAGTGGCGCATGTTGAGGGGAACCCTCTCAAACCGGTTGTTGTCCAAGTGTAACTCAACCAGACTTTGATATACTCCACGAAAAGACTTCCCTTGTACAGTGTGCTCCTCTAACAGGTTGTGTGAAAGGCGTAGAGTCTGTAAGCCTGGGCGGAGGTGACTCAGTGAGTATGGAGGAATGGAATGAATGTGGTTGTGCTGCAAAGAGAGATAGAGCAAGGCCCTGGGCAGATCTGTGGGCACCACTGCCATCTGGTTATATGACAGGTCAAGAGATTCCAGCTTCCTGAGAAAACAGATACAGGTATGGTTTTACATTCTAAATTATATAAGTGGTGGAGAAATAAGATCTAAATATCAATGTTTTTTAAGATGATACAGTTGTGGCCAAAAGTGATTTCTGGAAGAGATAGTATTTGATTTAATTTACCAGTTCAATTAAACTTCATACAATAAGATGAATATCATACTAGAACATGTTATATTGGGAGGCGGATAACACTTAACTTGGTTAAAGTTGTTTAACAGACTAAATAATTTGGAAAAAATACAGTTTATCACAAAATGATTATTTTTTCATAGACTCAAATACCTCAGATGCTAATTAGGTGGTTTGTTTAGTGTTAAATGTTAGCAATGAGAATTTGAATACCATTTTAAGTGACATTTATTGCCATTCTGAAAGCGGCAGCAGATAGTATCTCAGATCTTGAAAATAAAACAACTAGGAAACATACAGTTTAAACGTGAACTTTAGAAATGTGCAAACTTAAAGCATCAGTCACTCAGCATGTGCTTATAGTATCATTAATAAGGTCTAAAATTCATTATTTAGATTATAAACATGTTTATGTGGTTGGAATAGTGCAGTGCTCTGGTATATAAATGTTTCTGTTGTTTCGTGTCTAGTGAAGACACTAGAGTGACCACATGTCCTCCTTTTCCCTGACATGTCCGGCCAAGAAGTCTAAATCTCCTTAATATCGGTTTTTGCTTTCAACATGCAATCATTAGGTTACTATCATGTTTAGGCTATTTTATATTTGCCTGGCTCCTCAGTCTCCTCAGTAAGGCTTTCTTACATGACGCTCTCGCCATTGTACTATTGACTTGTAGTCACTGTTGTTGTGGTTAAATGATTGTGGATAAATTGGGAAGATGCTCATGAAAATTTATTTGATGAAATGATGGATGTCAATAATGAAAATTGTTTTTAAAAAAAGCCAAAAAAGGGGACTTAAGCGATCAATAAACTTGCTAACCACACGCAAATTAACAAGATTCCAGTGACTTTAAAACATAAAGTCATAACATTATAAATAAGACCTCTTTTGTGGCTATTTTCTATAATTTATGTTATATAAACCTATATCAACGGTAAACAACAATTTAGAACAATCACATTGTGTTTTTAACAAGCATACCATATAATGCATTTTATTCTATTAACCTTATTCTTTAAAGCGGAAGTGCACTCATTTTTGCAATTGTTTTACAACTTCCGATTCAATAAACAGCAGAAAACGGTCAAACTATACAAGCTATTAAGTGATTAGATGGAGATTATTGAGTGATTCATTCATTTTAAAAATTGTTTAAAATGCAAATTTGCTATTTGCTTATTCCACTTATTCCTCACGTACAAGCAGGCACAGCCATTTGAATCTTTTCGACTCAAGACTTCCGGTCTCATTTACTTCCATTCATTTTTGGACGTTTAAAACAGCTCGTTATGCAAGTTTTTGCATGACTATACAAACAAAGCAGAATAATAGAATAAGAAAATATCAGTTCGCAACATCAAGCAGCATATCGAGCTGTTTTTAACATCTAAAGATGAATGGAAGTGAATGAGACTGGAAGTCTCGAGCCAAAAAGATTCAAATGCCTGTGCCCGCTCTTACACAGAGAATAAGGTGAATAGCAAATTTGCATTTTGAACAACTTTTTAAATGAATGCATCAGTCATTATTTCCATACAATGACTAATCACTCAATAAATCAATAACAAAATCGGTGAGTAAATCTTTACGAGTAACTCAAAACAGTCATGAGTTAAGGATGAATCCAATCCTCATCACTAGTACATAGAGTAAATGTAGTCTTTTCTGGTCGGCCAGCTTCATTAATAACCTTATATTAATATTTTTTCATGGTCCATCAACAGACTTGTTCTAAACAGCTTATACAAGAATAGACAACGGCAATTCCTGCTTGTCTGTGCAGGTCTTACAACATGTATTTGTATAAACCATCTTCAAGTATTTTTGATGGTTAGTGTAGAGGGTTTCTGTGAAGTATTGGGGGAGCTTGTAAAGTATTCGGCAGAACTTGCCCCATGGCAGGTCATTAACCCAACACAAATCAGCTAGAGCCAAAAAAGCCTGTGTGTTGACTTTGGTGAAGTGTATTTGTGTGTCATGCGTTCTGTGGAGGCAGCAGAAATGACAGTATGTGTTGTAGGGGGTTTAGGGGTTGGAGGATTTTGAGAGTGAGAATGTCCTAAAAGAAATGGCAGTGTATGAGAAGCTTTTGTGTTTTCAAGAGGGGTCTGAAGGAGGCAGCTGGTGTAAGTTTACAGTGTTGGTCTCAGCAGGAGTCAGGAGTACATTTCCTCTGCCTTCGTAACACTGACGACTGAGATGAGGATCTCATATAGCAACGAGTGTTATTATTACATCAAAAGCTACACTGACCTCCATGTGGTTTTCATTCACCGTACAAGCTCTGCTACTGACCTTGAGATGAGACTGTAGATGCTGCAGACTGAATATCAATCAAGATATCTGGCAGTGGATGTGGCTGACAGAGTTTCAGTGGGAGCCGTGAGCTATTGTGTTTAGCTCTTGTTTTAAAGTGCACCTACTATGAAATTCTTAAAGGTTTCTCATTTTGTTTTGGAGGTCTCCTCTAATGGGTTTAAATTCAAATAACAGTTTCATTTTCCTATAATATATATTTTTCATGGTCTGCTTTATCAAAATGTCTGCAACTAGTTAAGATTCCTGCTGCATTCCAATTTGACATGCTACAAGTGCCTCAACCAATGTTAAGCAAAGAGGTTTAGCTAAAAGGTCTGAAATATGAATAATTACTATCCAACCTGATGAAATACTTTTAGTTTTGCTTTTTATTTAATCTGAAAACATTGACCTATACAACACCTATCCAAGTTTTAGGAAAAAAATAATATTGTGTATGAATCCCATGAGCTCGGACGACTGCATCCAGTCTCTCTGTAGTGACTCAAATAACTTAATGAAGTCATCTGAAAGGGCAAAGAAAGTGTTATTGCAGGACTCCCAGAGTTTATCAAGATTTGGGATGGGTATTGTTAAGGTTTTAACGGTATTACTACTTTTATCGATACCACTTATCAGTTTGGTACTTTAACGGGTCTCTTATCGGTACTTTTTTGTTAGTGAAAAAACAAAAACAATTTGAACTTAATTAAAAATCTTTTATTTTATTATTATGTTTTTATGTAAAATAAAACAAAACCAATAACTGTAAAACAAATAAATATTTTTTCCTGTTAAAGAATGTGCAATGGTTTGAAAGAAAATGACTCTCAGTTTTTAACCATTCTTCTGGAGAAAAATCAATATGTTTGCCTTTTCTGGCAGAAGTCGGGATATTTCTTGGTTTATTGTGCTCCCTGCAGTTGAAAATACCCTCTTCGAGTTGCAAAATGCAGTTTAATGAGATAAAGTTTTTTCATTTTTCATTCACATAAATGAGTTAACATGATTTGGGAGTTAACTTTGTTTTTATTACATTTTTGGAGCATCTTGCAATGTAAAAATAAGCCATTTTATCATATTTTTTTTAATAAGCATAGTGTATTATTAGGCTATTCATATATTTTTAAATACAGCAGATGTAAAAAAAATTATGTTTAAGATTTATTTAGGCTACTGCAGAAAAAAACATTGTTTTCATTGCAATCGAAAGTGTGTGTTTATTTAACTATTAATTTTAAACTAGGGCAACTCAGTGGCGCAGTAGGTAGTGCTGTCGCCTCACAGCAAGAAGGTTGCTGGTTCGAGCCTCGGCTGGGTCGGTTGACATTTCTGTGTGGAGTTTGCATGTTCTCCCTGCATTCGTGTGGATTTGCTCTGGTTTTCCCCACAGTCCAAAGATGTGCGGTACAGGTGAATTGGCTAGGCTTAATTGTCTGTAGTGTATGAAGGGTGAGTGAGTGTGTATGGATGTTTCCCAGAGATGGGTTGCGGCTGGAAGGGCATCCGCTGCATAAAATATGTTCTGGATAAGTTGGTGGTTCATTCCGACCCTAGTTTAATAAAGGGACTAAACCGAAAAGAAATATGAATGAATGAATAATATACTAATTTAGGTCATTTACTGCTGGCATAACGATGTGGATGATGTAAAGTTGCCGTTAGTAGCTAGGCAGTCAAAACTTTGCATTGCAGTAAATGCACTTTTGAAAGATACTTTCACTTAGCCAGATTGCTTGCGTTTCCACTTATACAAGAAAACAACTTGTTGTGTTTGTTGCAACGGCATTGTCACTGTCCACTCTGGAAATACAGCTCATTTGGTTCACTCTGCAAGCTTACAAGCCGTGTGAGCACGAGTCTGTGTCGCGAGCTATGTGTCTGCACTTAGCGCAAGCCTCCGCTGAGTGCGCGCACAGCCAAGAACTGTGAAGGTTCTTTCACAGTTTACAGTTTTTTTTAATTACAGCTTCCCTTTGCAAGAAGAGCAATGACAATTCAACTCTTTTTGAAGACAAGTGCGTTTTAAATGGAACCGCCCAAATTTTTACAATTAAGCTTAATATTAATAATTTTAGGTAAAAGTGTAAAATGCTGTGGAAGAAATTTGGCAAATCTAAAAATGTCTTGTCTGGGGCACAAAAACAAAAAAAAAATAATTGCAACAGCTAATAAGTTCTCATTTGGAGACATGTATCAACAGTTGGGTTGTTAAATTATTGCACAAACTTTTTATTAAGCATGTGCACAATAAATAACTGCCACAAAGGAGCCGACACAACAATTTTACAACCGCACTTGCTTATTATCTTAGGCATATATATGAGTATAATCAGTACTCATATTTAAATTTTGTTTCTTATACAAGGTAAGGCTTTGTTAGCCTATTTTATATAATATAAGTAAATCATTACAAATTATTCAATGGTCTATTTAAATGATTGATTTTGATTGGCTAGAAGGTGTGTAATAAAACCGTTTAATGCACAGGCAGTTCTGTTTTGTTCACAAGTCAATCTAAGTACCATTTCCTAAAATATTATTA